TACTACTACTAGTACTAGTAGTAGTACGTACTTAGTAGTAATTATTGTAACATGTACTTGTAGTAATACAAGTATTCGTAGCCGTAGGTGTGGAATGTAATACCAGTCTTAATGTGCCGCTAGTGGCATTAATTCTCAGTCTAAACAAACTGATCATCAGTGTGTGCTGTACGTGCGGGCTTGATCTTGCTGGCAGTGGCTGGTACGATGTAATAATTATATGCAAAAACGGCAAAACGGGCTAGAGAGGAGATGCGAGCGCGGGGTCAAGAGGTTCATAAGGAGAAGGAACATGGCTACGATAATGAAAACGCGACGTCACGATTCCAGTTAGACTGGTACGGACGTTAATTCGGGCAAGTCTCTTTCGCTACACTAAAGTTATAGTTAGTGCAGCGTGTGAAACTCTCCACCGCGCGGCAGTCTAACGAAAATTGTCTGCGAAATGCCTCGAAGAGAGCCTCGTCGCGCCATCTATGGGCCGCGATATGTACGAGAATAACTTCAGGGCGTTAAATTAAATAAATTAGAAATCGCTTTTATAGGAAAAAACGTAACGCGCCAACAAAAAAAAACACCAATTACGACCATTGGATTTATTCTCGCCCTACGTGCAGAGTCCAAAGGCTTCTGCAATGGCCAGAACTGCTCAATTGACCGATTCTCGGGCTTTCTCTAGTACCCAGAAGGGATTCGGGTATAGGGCATACATATAGGGCAGCGCATTGTCTCGAGTGGCACCACTAGGTGGTGCTGTTCGCGCTTCGCGCGTATATCCGGCTGCAGATCGTCTAGGCTACAATACCACGACCAATACCCAATTTAGAATCATTTAACATCGCGAGGGACTATGAACAAAATTGAGGTTTGATGTATTAATTAGACCGGATACAGGCCCTCGGGCCTATTCCTGTAAACCGCTATTCTATTCTATATATAGTCAATGGCCGCGTGTGTGCTGTAGCTGCAGGTGCCGACTTGTTCTTGCTGCCAGTGGCAGTGCTAGGGCCTACCTAGTCCGAGCCGACGCAGACCCCAGTAATGGGGATAAACCCGCACCCTCAGATTAGCAAAGCGGAGTTATAACGTCTGCATTTGCGGACTAGGGCCTACCTAGCCATGTTGTAACCAAACTTGGAATCTGCCCAATCTCGAGATTGTGCAACGATTGTGCTGCCCAAACTGCGGATTCCCTAGTTTGGCTGACCAATCTCAAGATTGTGCAAACTGAAAACAGTCGGTGATTCAACAACCGCTCATAGCGAGTGTGTGGTGTGGGTGGTGCAAACTAGGAAGGGATTTATCTCATATTTATCCAATTATTTATTATAATCATTTATTATTTATACAAAGGTGCCAAACTCATTGAGGAAAAAAGGTATATACGACCTTATAGTTGAGTGTTTGAAATCCTAATAATCATATGTTTGTGCAAGCTCTGTTTACCTGTGTTTGCCCAATCTCAAGATTGGTTGCCCAAACTGTGAATGTGCTGAAATTCCAAGTTTGTGCAAGATTCCAAGTTTGGGAACAACAGCCACAAGTTCCCTTCTCGCTTAACACTACGTGGTCCTATGACATGTAACAGTCGGAGAGCCTGGTCGGTTTAGGGCCTACCGTACCGTCGTACTAGTACTACTACTAGTACTACTACACTAGCAGGCGTACACGTAGTACTAGATACAATAATGTAACCCAACAAGAGTAGGGTTACAATGCGAGCCTATTCTTTTCTTTGGAGGAGCCCCTGAGTGATTCACTCAGGGTGGTTTTATGGTGCGTTTTTCGAGACTACAACTTCCAAACTGGGTTTATACTAAACACGAACATTTCTCCGCTATCCTGGGACTTACTATGTATCACAATACTCACATTTCTGTTGACCTGTGATGTACAGATTCCCAATGCGCATAGCGTTCGGCTAACTTCGTCATGACGTCATGACTGACAGCAGGCATCCCATGGTACATTCGATCTTGGAGCCTAACTAGAATAAACCCAGTTTGGAAGTTGTAGTCTCGAAAAACGCACCATAAAACCGCCCTGAGTGAATCACTCGGGGGCTCCGCCAAAGAAAAGAATAGGCTCGCGTTGTAACCCTACTCTTGTTGGGTTACATTATTGTATCTAACGTAGTACGTACTACAGGGGCGGCTGACTTTGATGACCTGCAAGTTTTTCGCCGTTCCAGTGCTCCATTTAGTAATGATTGTTTTTTTTTGTTTTTTTGAAAGTTCATAGTCGGATTTCGTTTAAAACATTAATAACAACATTGTTGCTAATGCAACAACATGCCCCCCGGAAAATTTTTGATTTTGGATAGTCTGAAACTTTCCTGCATTCTGAGCAATAAAAAGCCATATATCAGACTGACAAATTTGTTGTTTTTTTAGGTAATAATTAGTGCCGGGCGGAGATAATTCACTCGTTTATAGTGCCGGGCGGCAACCGCGAGTGCCGGGCACACCCGCCCACCACCGCCCACCGTGGGCAGAACCCTGGGGGGGGGGGTTACTTGGATTATATTTAGAATTAGACGGGGGTGTGAGACTGAAGCCTTGAAGTTGAAACCAAAATCCCAATATGAAAGCATTTAGGAAAATAAGGACCCATGTCTAAGGTTTCTTTTGGTGAAGATGGGACCCATGTCTAAGGATCTTTCTTGAAAAAGTCGCCCATCCCAACGGCACATCACGTATATCCTAACAAGCTAAATTTGTGTACAATTCTGAGATTAATGAAAAGGTGTGTAGTACTGTGTAGTGTGTACACGTGCTTCAATATATGTGTATATGAAATGCACTAGCTATTTCTGTTTGGTAGTCATAGATGTATATTTCTTGCAGGTGCATCTAGATGTTGATTGGGATGGAGATGCTTTAGACTACACATGTCCCTCACATTATCATTGGCCAATTGTTGAGGTATGTTATTGTTGTTGCAATTATTATTATTATTATTATTATCACCATCTTCTCTATCATCATAACTATCATTATCATTACCACTACATACACACTTGTATACCTAAGTCTGTTATGATTATAAATATTGAATATTGTTATATGCGCATAATACATTGTATATAATATTGAGGGATAAGCTATATGTATATATGTATATATATATATATATATACACTGTACTCCCTTTATAACGGGATGGTTGGGGTCCATAAAATGTCATAGCGAAAAAAGCAAATTCGCGCTAAATTGGGGTTATATATATATGTGGCTATATAAGAGCAAAAAATAGGAGCCAACGACTCATCGCGTTATATCCGAACACGCGTTAAATCGGGGCGCATGAAATCGGAGTTCCACTGTATATATATATTTATAACTGCTACTTAATTCACACTGCAAGATTTTATACCAAGATCTCATTTTAATTAAATTAAAAAGCATATATAGTTTGTAGACAGGTAAATATTATTATTAGATGTGGGAATTATGTACGAGAACAATATTGATATGATATAGTCTGGCATTGATTACTTTTTTACAGTCCAAGCCATTAATTTATTGTCACCCGCCAGGAACAAAGGAGCCTGTGAGTACATGTAGTTCAGGGTTTCTTATACATAAGAGGCACAGTGGCGTACCGCCGTTGTCAAATTTAACATCGCCGTTGTGAAAATGTTCCTGTATTTACTGATAAGTCTATCCTGTATCTATATATACCTATAAGTATTTCAATACATCCTGTATTTGAATCCATCATGCATCCAAAACTGGCCATTACCTCCTTTACCATTTACACTCGTTTAATTTTGACGACAATAAAAAGTACTTGTTTTTTATTCAAGTAAACAGCCAGTGCCGGATCAATATTGGCAGAACTAGGTGTTATCTATTTCAGTCATTGCATACTACTAGTCTCCACTTGTCAAGTATAAAAAGTATATCCCTGATGCCTGACTTATGGTTAATACGGAAATGTTAAATTTTGCACTACAGACTGTAATGTTATATGATTAAATATTCTACTTCATAACTTTTCCTAAAACTGCAGCTGAGAGACCATTTGACTTATAGTGATAACAGTACACAATTATTGCTTTTTGCAGTCTAGACACTACTGCATGCACACCAAGTTGGAATATGACGAGGAACCACCTCTAAGGTATATTAGATTTGTACTACACAGTGCAAAAATTGTGAAAATTTATATATGTCATAAACGCACTATTGTATGATTTTTGTGTTTAACCTATTATTTAACCTATGCCATAATTAAATGCTAAAATGTTTGCATATATATATAGTACTTGCAAATTATGCGTATCATTATTAATTTCTGGTTGTTTTGCTGCAGTGGGAATCATCGACCCCTGTGGCCTAAATATGGTGAATACAGATATGTACCACCACAAAGATGGGTCCATAATTTAGAGGTATGTCGAATTTCATTTCTTTCCCTTCAATTCATAATAATGGATTTTTTACGAGCTTACCAGTACCTGTCAAAACAACTGAAATCTCTACCTTTACTGATAGTGCAATCAACATAGCAGTCTGACTCTGTTAGACTCACTTGCATTTGTGTTTCAGCATGGGGGAGTTGTTCTTCTCTACCACCCATGCGGCAGTCGTGCAGAGCTGGCCATTTTAAAATCTGCATTACGGTCTTGCCTGCGCCGCCATATCATCACACCATACAACAAGCTTACCAAAGAATATGTAAGAGGATCTTACAATATTTCACAAAAATTATGTTCTTTTTGCTTTCTGTCTGTGTGGAACAGTGATGTATCATCGTCAGTTCATTGCCACTATCTGTTTTATCATAAACTGATTATTATGGTGAAAAGCTGGAGTGATGTTATTAGCTTTTAACGTGTTTCTAATTCAAGTCCTCTATCTCTTCAGCCATTCGCCATGGTTACGTGGGGATGCAAGCTCAGTTTGTCTCATGCAGATGTGTATGTGGCGAAGGCCTTCATAATGGTAAGAATCAGTTGGGATATTAGTTTGCACATTGCGCAACCAAGGTTCAACCGACTTTTAGTGACAACTCACAACGAGGACTCATTGAACTTGTGTTTGCAGGCACATGCCAAAAAAGGCCCAGAAGATCTTGGTAAACCTGGACAATTTGATGACCAGCTGCTTCTGCCGGCAAAGGTGGTGCCTGGTTCCGACTTCAATGATACCATCATCTGCCCAGTAAATGATGAATATACAGAGGTTCGTGTACAGTCCACAATCAATATGTGTTGATAAAAAAAATTCCAACTTATTGAGGTACTGTAAAAGATTTTCTTTAGATGTAATCGTTACATGTACTCGTTAGATGTAATGAAGGATAATAATACAACATTTTTCAGTGGTGGCAACTTTCTCTAACTTTCCATGAACAGATGTCTGGTCTATGAAGGTGCCTAATACAGGTGTTATTGTACAGTAAAACTCGCATAAGTCGACACTTTTTGGACCAGCATATTTGTGCGGACTTGCAAAAATGACGACATACGCGTAAGTCGTCATTTTGTCGACTTATATGTAGGGCTCCCCTCCCAGGCGCCCGTCACCCCTACGCAGTCATAAACATGCTCCACACACGACGTCAGTTCGCGCCACATACATAGCAGACATGAAACAATCGGGTCCGTACATCAATCGACACCGCTGCTGGCCATAATGCAAGTACATCGTATGCACTAGCGGCAAGTGCGGCACACGCTGGCTATCTGTAACATCCGCTGTTGATTACACGTTTGGACATTGCAGGACATTTGCGGGGCACGTCTGCCAAATTTTCTTGGAACACTTGCTGAAAAAATACAGTAATTCCGCGAGGCCGTGCTTAGGAACGAACTAGTTAGTATAGCTGAATTTTCAGGGAGTCACATGGACTCCTGCATATGTCAAATCAGGGAGTCCTACAGTAAATCAGGTAGTATTTAAGCGCACATCTGCGACAGCCAAATCGCACATCCCCTAGACCGTACACTGCGCGCGCGCCATGGGCATTTCTGATGACGACTTACAGATGGGAAATTACTGTTGTTTGTATTACATGGGATCTGTCTGAGGGCGGTGACTTGCACATAATGACGGCTTATAAATGACGACTTAGGCGGGGCTATTCCAATGGATTTACTATGAGAGAAAATCGGGAGTTTGACTTCCATGACGACTTATGCGAATTGACGAGTTAGGCGATGACGACTTATGCGAGTTTTACTGTATTTACGTTTAATATTAAATGCTGTATGATAGCAGATGGTGGGGTCATCTTGGCATGCAGTGGCTGCAGTTGCATGATGTTTTATCTGTTACTGTTACACAGGTTGGCGACTATTCCTATGGAGTGACAAACCAGGGTAAAGAGTCTGTTATGGGCAATGACCTATCAAGAATCTTTTTTGATCTTGCGGAGATGTTGGAGAGCAACTAATTCAGCAAACTGGTGAATACTCGTGGAGCAACAAATCGGGGTAAAGTGGCTCCTCCCAGTGGCTTGTCTTTCTTGATGTTATATATGTTTATGTATTTGAGGGAAACTAATTCTATCGATCAGTCACAAAGGATTACAGCTGCTGCTGAAGGTATACTGATTTTTCACAATGTTATCAAAGTTGTCAGTGTGAATATGAACATGTCTTTACATTGTATAGATATTTTCATAGCATCTATTTATATATATGGCGCTTGTCCTACTGCTGCTGCTACTGCGATGCACTTGGTCGTGATTGGTCGAGACTGGTGCATGCGCCGTAACCCCGTACGCCCGCATCACTTGGTCGATATTACTGGTGTATGCGCCCGCGTACCAGTACTACACCATGCGATACGCTTTATCGATCATACGACATCATGGTTCCATCTTCTGGGAATTTGTCTCGGCTCTCAAGCGGGGCATTATTCCGACTTTTAACCGCGCCTCGTCAACGCTGCGGATTTTGTAAATGTGAAATGTAATACGACCACAGGTACATGAACTGCTTAAAAATATGTTAAAGCGAGTTCTGACTTGCAAGTACTTTCACAGATTTTATTTTTACAAATGACTTGCAAGCTACTTCAGTGTTAATTAATTCACCTATGCCATTGTACATATTAAAAACAGTGAGTGAATTAAACTGCATTATTATATACATAAAGTTTTTTTATCAAGTTCTTGATTTTCCCATTTACTAAAATTGCTCAACATATTTTGACGGAAATATATTTATTTATTGTGGTATTTTAAGTAGTTTCTGTTGGTGAGTGTAATTAATGAAAAAGGTTATATCAACAATTTGCCAATATCCACAGGTCTGTATTTTATGAAACACTAGTTAATATATGGGATAATTCATAGCTATAGCGATCTTGTTATATATTTGCAAATGTTATCTTTTTGTTGCTCAATTCTACATTCCGTCTATTCTCAAGAAACGTATTAATATCCACTTAGTCAGTATTTTATCATTGCAGTTATGTGTTGCAATAGCATTCCCAAAATGCAGTATCAGGAGGTAGAATTTCATTGTTTACCAGCAGTATTAGTTGTATCGTGAACACTAAACTACAACTATTGATGTGTTCGTGGTTGAATATACACCATCTTTGTAGATAATTTCTTCTCATTAGAATGATATCAAGAGCTTATTTTAAGGAGAGCGTACAACGGTGAAATGCTGAAACCATGCTGCAGTATTAGTCGAATTAATAAACTTTGCCCGTTTTTATTTTGACGATTCTTTGTGGTATTATTGATCAGCTGTCCTACCTTGCTAATATAAAACAAACCGCTTGTCTCTACGATGCCTCTACGCTGAGATAATGAGCGGTGAAAATCTGGTGTTTTCGCCGAAAACCGACTCGAGATACTTAGTGGCTGTGACTGTCTCTCGTTCTGGCGATAGCTTCGGGAAACCTCGCGTGTTTCCGTCATTCATTGACAATGAAATTTATTTTCCTTCTACTATCTTTTCTCGCATTTCCAGTCATTGATGCAGCCATTACTCCACAAAAACGTTGTTATTTATCGCCATGGTGATGACCCGCCCCTTACGCTGGATGTAGTAATGCTGTAGTAATAACGTATCAAGTCAGCGCTACACAGCGGCGTCCGGAAGCAACATACAGTCCACAAAACGAGAGACAGTTGCAGTAAAACTGATCTTGAGTCGGTTTTCGGCGAAAATACCAGATTTTCACTGCTCATTATCTCAGCGTAGAGGCATCGTAAGGACATGCGGTTTGTTTTATATTAAGAAAGTAGGACAGCTGATCAATAATACTGCAAAAAATCTTCATAAAACGGGGAAAGTTTATTAATTCGACTAATACTGCAACATGATTTCAGCATTTCACCATTGTACGCTCTCCTTCTTTATACACTCTTGATGATATACATCAAAATTTAAAATCCAGGGCATGTTAATTACACAAATTTGTTAATTTAATGACTGGTTGTCATTACCAGGGTAATCTCTTTTTTACGGTCTATAACTATGTGTATGTTACGGTCTCTAACTGTAAAAATTCAGTTGATGTTCACTCACAATGTTAATGAACATTTGTGGTGAACGAATCTCTCCAAAAAATCTATGGTTTTCAATAAACGTTCTAATAATATAAACTAGATTTTGCTAAAAATCGTATTTGTTTATATTTTTATCACTTTTTGACTAATGGAACATTTTGCAAACATCCTCACACGTGTTGAAAACATTATTATAGAACTCTATTACACACCTGGTATTGATACACTTACATGTGAGCAAATAACTTCTATAATAATAATATATTTTATTATTCATTTAAATAAAATTTCTCAAACAACAAAATGAACAATTACAGTAGCATTTTGGGTATGATGTTTATCTTGGGTATAACCTGGCAATTACTGTACAAGCAACGATTATCTTGAAGGTACTAAGATTGCGTCAGACTTCTGATTCAGGCTAGTTCACGCCTATTCTACTCCTTGCATGGTAGGAGCTTGTTGTAGCATGCTAATTGAAATTCCATGCTAGTGTATATCATTGAGGACAGTGAACCCAATATAAATATATAATGAAAGATTTTCACTACCCGTTCAGTCGGATTAGCCCTCCGTAATCTATCAATAAACGATATGCCTTTCTAACTTCGTCAGGAGAACCCTGGTACTAACGAAATGCTCAACAAAGGAAAATTAGCCAATAGTAACTAAAAGTAGTTACTCTGAAAATATTTGCCGAGATGTTGAGTTTGCTATAGTAATCATTTCAAGATGGAAGCTCATTACAAAAGACATTGTCTATTGTCCAAATATTTAATCAAGAATCACTACGTTTGTCAACACTCTCTGATAGCTTCTTCAGCTGCTTCTGTCTAAGCTTTTCTACCCAATTTTTTCTCTCATTTAATTCCTCATTACGGTAAATGGTCACTAGAAACCAGAAGTATATCAGACCAGTTATGATCATAGACCTGCGTGTGATAAAGTCTTGTCTCATATCAAACTGCGACTTGTCCCGAGTTCTTCGCTTCCTTTGCTGCTCTCTGTTTATTGTCCCACCATAATGTGCACGATGAAATTCGTCAAAGTCGTAAATCCTAGTTGAACCATGTGGCATCCCACTGGGGCGTGTAGGTCCTTCATGTGTCCATTTGCTACTGGTTCCTGGCCTAGGGTAATCTTTTTGCCACGTGGGGCCCGTCTTTCTACTATAGAAACCAGAGGAAGTATCTACACCACTGTCGTACTTCCTACGCATGTGATAGTTTCCGAGCACATCATATGCTTCTGTGATCTGGGTGTAGTACGCATGCGCATTTGGATCGTCTCTGCTGACATCTGGGTGATATTTTTTGGATAAATCATAAAACGCATTCTTTATCTGAGTTTGTGTTGCATGTCGTGTTATGCCAAGAATACTATAGTAGTCCTTTTCTGTCTCGTGAGCACAAAATCGATGTCCAGAGGTATTAAAATTACGTATCAAATGTTTTTGCTGAATGCTAGCCTCATCTATGACTTGTTGCTGATAATGAAATGTGTGACACTTGCCACAAACCCTGTAGCTGTAACGTAGTGTGGCCCACATCTCTTCTTTTCAGGTAAGCCTGCTTCAACGTAGAATGATGCCAATGACCATTGCAGCTTACATCATACATGGCGTCCAGTATAGCTGGTGTAGGCTACTTGCAAGTTGCACTATTGTCAGTATTGACTATTGATGTTTACATGTCCTTGGCTTGAGTTCAGAGTTGAAGCATAGATTGAAGTAAATACCGATGTCTAAACTACAACGTACTATGAATCCGTTGAAAAAAGCCGTATTTAGAGTTGGGCACATCATTAATGGTTCATGGCAACTGTCTGCAGACCGATAATTTGAAGAAAAGCACAATTCATATACTCTAAACACTAAACCAGCTAAAAGCTTTTTCGACTAGATGGGGGCTGCCATCTTGAAATTATAGTCGATGACGTCATACATCGGCCCCTTATCAGGTGATTCGTAATCATACTTGTATTAAAGAACTAATAGTTTTTAACCATATCTAAGCATAGATATAAATGCTAAACTGTATATCAACTTTTTTTGACATAAAACATTTATGGCATATATACGCGAGCATTCATTTTTAATCTTTCATACCTGAAGCACTTCGCTATACGAATCCTTTGCCGAACATTTTTCTACCAAAACAGAAAAACGTGCCATTCGGGTACCCTCGGACCATTCAGAGAATAGCGCTGTTTTCTAGGCATGACGGGAAGAGTCGAATGGGTTTTCCGATTGAAAAACGTGCGTGATTGATTATCTGAACATAGATATAGAATAGAAGCTAGATCTAGATCTGTATTCTATATCTATGTCTATGATCTGAATTATGGCATCTGTAAGAAGACCCGAGCATCAAGCTCCACCAGAAATTGTGAGTGTCCTGTATGATATCAGGAGTGTATCAAACACTCCTGATGATATTGATAATGCAAATTCTGGTTAGAGTATTCCGGCACTCGTCAGTGCGTCTTGTCATTAGTCCCATAGTTACGTTTTAGCTCTAGGCTACTCTAGTACTAGTACTAGTAGTAGGGCTGAGAGGGTCTATGTCCCCCGGGGTACTGCTGGAACGTACCCTGGGTACGGTCCGGTATACCGGAACGTACCCTGGTACTATCTAATATGCCGGACCGTACCTAGCCTACTCCACTAACGAGTCTAGGGAGTCACCTACGCCTACTCCCTAACCCAAACCCTAACCCTAACCCTAACACTAACTCTAACCCTAACCCTAATCCTAACCTTAACCATATCAAATAGTGACCAGGGTACGGGTACCGGACCGCGGACGTTCCGGCAGTACCCTGGGGGACATAGACCCTATGAGCAGTAGTACTACTAGTACTAGTACTACTAGTAGTAGTAGTAGTAGCTCCAAGAAACGGTATTGCTAGGGTTAGAATACCGTATAGACAATCCGTCGCACAGCCTGGTCGGGATAGTTGTAGTAGTAGTCTTTAATACTCCTTAGTATAGCAAAAATCCTTGTACCTGCTTATATTGGAAGTGATAAAATAAACTTATCTTATCTTATTTTATCTTAGTAGTAGTAGTAGTAGTAGTAGTAGTAGTAGTAGTAGTAGTAGTAGTAGTAGTAGTAGTACTGCTGAGAGGGTCTATGTCCCCCAGTGTACTGTGGGTACCCAGGGTACGGTCTGGTATACCGGAACGTACCCTGGTAGGCTGGTACTATCTAATAGTAATATGCCGGACCGTACCGGTACCGCGCCTACTCCACTAACGAGTCTAGGGAGTCGCCTACTCCCTAACCCTAACTCTAACCCTAACCCTAACCATATCAGATAGTTACCAGCTAGGGTACGGTCCCGGTATACCGGACCATACCCAGGGTATGTTCCGGCAGTACCCTGGGGGACATAGACCCTATGAGCTCTAGTACTATAGGCATGTACCGTAGTATTTAGAGGCTCGCCCGAAACTGGACGCTCCTAAGTGCGCATGCGCGCATGCTCTTTTGTTTTCTTTTTGTTTTAATCTTGTTTTGCAGGGCTGTAGGAAATAGTAGCCATGCTCTTTTGTTTTCTTTTTGTTTCACCTTGTAACCTGACACACATAACACAGTCTTACTAACTTACTATATTGCAAATTGTTTCAATCAAATGTTTCCATGAGTGACCGGGTTGGCCGCCATGTTTGTTTATTGCAACCGTTTTCGATGGGCGAGATGCGCAGATGACTACTGCACATGCTGCGCATGTGCCCTTGCAAAACAAGAGGCGCCTGCGTGCATGCGCACTTAGGAGCGTCCAGTTTCGGGCGAGCGTCCAAATACTACGGTACAGGCATAGCTATTAGTATTAGTATTACTATAGCCCGCGTACAGTGAGTTGCCGCAGGCCTGCACTATTTAGCACTATTTAGCACTAGCCACTAATACGGAGGGCACTAAATTGTATCTAATCTAATCTGTTTGTAATACAACTTGTATAAACTGACATGCTAGCTTAGTAATAGTAACATGCCTCAATTGTTTTGATTCGAACTGTATCGAGTATAGCTCTAGTAACTATATCGAGTACTGCATGTGCCGCAGCATGTAAGTGTGTGGTAAGTGTACGTACGTACGTACGTGGCACCTCATGCATGATTAACATAATTATGATTGATACAATAATAATCTAACCCGACACAAGAGTAGGTGAGTTACTACATATTCTCGTGTATGTGTTTTACCTACTCTAAGGTGTGTTACTAACAGACTCTTGTATTGGGTTTCATGATATGGTAACCATATGATACTCTTATACTCATTCATTTACTGTAGCGAAAGTGATACTAAATATAACTAATAGTTATGTATATTTTTGCAGTTCTACAATGAAACTGAGGCACGGAAATACACTTCAAAGTAAGAAATGACGATCTCGTGCTTCAGGATTATCGTCGTCATATTGATACATCACCACTACAACTATAATCCTATCTCTCTAAATCTGTAACCAGTATTTAAATATGTTTTTGTAGTTGGTCGTACCTAAAATAAGACGTCTAGAGAAATTTATTATTAAAAAATTGACCGCTGACTAATAATTTTTGCAGCACACGAATGATTGAAATCCAGCTAAAGATGACAGAGCGTGCAGTGGAACTCCTTACCCTCCCTGAGGATACGCCATGCATGATTCTCGATTTGGGGTAATTATAACTTTTATATCACACCAGACAAGCAGTTGTAGTATACTGTGGACACATATATTTTCCACTAAGCAACGTCATCTATTTACGTCAACTGCATTAAAATTTAAATCTTGCAACGGCTCACAATGGTTAATCTGTCATCTTGGCATTGCAATACACTATGTGTATATGTGCTTTTGCGCAGCTACTATGTCCTGAAGGGCTGTAGGCTGAGAATTCCTAGTGGAAGGGGCAAAATTTCATGACTCAACTGTGTAATGATGAGGGACGGGCGCAGCTCTTGATCGACATGCATAGTGTGGTGGGGGTGGGTCTGAGACGAGGCTTTCACGGATAAGTGACCAAAAAAATAACGTTAGGGTTATTTACGATTATTAACTAAGCTTATTTTTTAATTTTGCTCCAAAATCTAGCGGGGGCAGCTACCTCCCCCCCCCTCATCTCAGAGGCTACGGCCCTGACTATTATGGTAAAATTCGTGCAATTTCAGGTGTGGATCGGGCTTGAGTGGCGAGACGCTCACGGAGCATGGACACAACTGGGTGGGGTTGGACATTAGCAGCAGTATGCTGAGTGTAGCTCTGGAGAGGGAGGTGGAAGGAGACCTGATGCTTGGAGACATGGGACAGGGCCTGTCCTTTCGACCAGGAATGTTCGATGGTGCAGTCAGGTATTTCACTATTCCATGACCCGTAACAGTGTCGATACTCGTGTGTTAAATTGTGTTTATTATTCCTGTTAAGGACATTGTCACAGCCGAGTTTTTGTAATAAAATTATACCCAAACTTGTTACCATTTCTACTATAGTGATCCTGTGCATTATGAAATGTAATGTTCTGTTCTGTTTGTAGTATTAGATGTATGTTCAAAATAACATGCTCGGACCTCTCAATATTTCGTGCACATGCAACTGCTTTTATCGATGCTGATTTTCACATATGGTGCTGTGAACAGTTACTGTTGTTATGGAAGTGAACTATAGTCAAGCTACAAGTATAACTTGCTATCTTGCAGCATCAGTGCACTACAGTGGCTTTGCAATGCGGATAAGAAGTCACACGTGCCAGCAAAGCGCATGTTCAAGTTCTTCTCAACGCTGTATTCCTGCCTCGCACGTGGCGGCCGTGCAGCTTTCCAATTTTACCCAGAAAACTCCCAACAGGTAACGCGTATGGCTGGAGAAGGAGCCTGTATTATTTAGTTCATTGTCAGTCATGTTGTTGATAATTGTATGTGGATATTGTATTTATTTAAATATTTATTAAGTATATATCCATTGTCTGTGAGTTTGGTCTGTACACAATATCTTGTCGATTTAGTATGAAAGTGGACATTGGTGGATGTTAAAGTACTTTAAGCTTTAATACAATATGAAATCTCAATTTAAATACAAATGAATTTCTTTATACTTTTTTATGCTAACAGGTAGAGCTTATCACCCAACAAGCATTGAAAGCAGGATTTACTGGTGGTGTCGTTGTGGACTATCCGAACAGTAGTAAGGCGAAAAAGTAATGTTCATCAAAAATCATTATTGCAACAGTTTCCACATTAAGTTTCTGCAGTTCCAGCTTCTTAATTAAACTAATTCATGTTGATGCTGTGCTAATTAGTAGGTGTGCAATGTATTGCATAATCGGGTCACATTATCATTGCGACTTTGGTCTAGAGTGATAACAGACACCGTGATTAACCATGTGGCATGTCCGTTGCAGGGTATTTCTCGTGCTGTTCGTAGGAGGGCAGCAGCAGTTGCCCCGGGGTCTGGGTACGGCACCTGGTGAGAAGGGTGTCCCCGGCCATGTTCAGTACACAGATGTCAGGTAGTGTAATAGCTGTATTTTAAGTAGGGCACTTTACAATTAAAATACATGATACATAAGTAATTGCTTGCTTATTGCATTTGCTTGCACTATTTGTAAATTAGTATAGATCAGGAGTAGATAATAGGGAAGGAGTGTGACATCAATAAACAAGGGAAATTCGTCATTTACTAGCCTTATAATACCTACGATTTACTACACGTAACTCATCCAACTTGAGCTCAAATCGGACACAGTACATCCGCCTACCATCGTGCGAAATCCTTTCCTCGTATACACCCGCAATCCGGATATTCTTTGGCCATCAATCCAAATCCACTGCCCGCCTCTATTCAAACAAAAGGCAGCTACTAACCACACTGTCCACGGCTTGCGCTCAGGGCGAGGCGCTGTGAGATTTGAATCGGATCTGCTGCTGATAGCACGGATTGGCGTGCGTGCGTGCGTGATGGGGCATTGCCAGCTGTTATTGCCGTCATTGCCCGTATGACATACACGGATACATTGTACTAGCGTGCTACCGGGTCAAAGGTTAGCTCGCCGAGTGTTGCGTTGATGCCTAATCACCCTGCGAGCCACAGCGCCTCGCCGTGAGCGCAAGCCGTGGACAGTGTGGTTAGTAGCTGCCTTTTGTTTGAATAGAGGCGGGCAGTGGATTTGGATTGATGGCCAAAGAATTGAAAATCGTGTCGTACGTTTTAGTCTGTATCTCCGGATTGCGGGTGTATACGAGGAAAGGATTTCGCACGATGGTAGGCAGATGTACTGTGTCCGATTTGAGCTCAAGTTGGATGAGTTACGCGTAGTAAATCGTAGGTATTATAAGGCTAGTAAATGACGAATTTCCCTTGTTTATTGATGTCACACTCCTTCCCTATTATCTACTCCTGGTATAGATGTATCATTGTGTGATCATGTATTTACTATGGAGCATAATTCTAATATTAAATCGGGAGTAAATAAAAAAAAATTGTTTTTATTCTATCCTGATTATATATATATATATATCAGGGGCCCGTTGTCAGAAACTTCGTAAAGTTACGATTAATTTTAAGTCTAATGTTAATGTTAAGGTTAATTTTAATAGCGTTGCCAGAAACCAACTTAAACTAAACCTACTTAAGTGAAAACTCACGATAACAGGAACTTCATAATTTCATGTCACAAGGCTGCTGATTGGATGAGAATCGATCACAAAATTCAAATTCATACACATTTATTGTACATCACAGTAATTTATGCATATTATGATGGCTAACCACATATAAATAATATTTGATGAAAAACGACACGGTCTTGAATTTATTCTGCACAAGAAGACAAATTCTCACACTGTAATTCTCACACTGTAAATTCTCACGAGACGCGAGAGTCGTGTGGTCAGTGCAAAAGTATTTAAAACAAGAGAACAAATGCCATACACCATTTGTAAAGGTATTTTTTTGTTTTATTAGCGGTAGATAATTAATAATTGTTTCAAGAAAAACACACATTTGATTCATTATTATAAAATATAATATCACTATAAATTATAATTGTAATTCGTAGTGTAAATGTGTTATTTTCAACTTAATATTAAAGTTAAGGGAGGGTCTAGGATCTCTTAAGTTAAGAGAAAAGTTACGAGAATTTTTAATTCTCTTAGTTTTACAAAGTTTCTGGCAACGCTTTAAGAGAAAAAGTTAATGTTAAGGTTAATGTTAACACTAATTTGTTTCTGACAACGGGCCCCTGGAGCGTATAATGACAAATACGTCAAATTTGTCATTATACGCTCCTGATATATATACATATAAATTATAAATTCTGTTTAATAAGTATTTTCCATCAAGTAATGTCTTAAGTCATTTTAAATCTTGTAAATAAATTATAATAAATTCTTAAAGCGTTTGCATATTTAACACTGTAGACAGAGAATAAAAGCAGCAAGAGGAAAGCCACTAAAGAAGAGCCGAGATTGGATTTTGGAGAAAAAGGAACGAAGAAGACGACAGGGAAAGTGAGTTTTTCATGCATTATTAAGTTAGAACTAGACTCTAATGAGGATGACCAGGTATTTGGAGTAGACAATCCATCTTGTTGTTATAATGCCGAGTTTTTTCTGTTGAAAAACAAAATTAATTAAGACTGAAAGCATGCTGCTGCTTAGATGTATCTATTTGCTTTATTTAGGGAAGTGAGACCAGACTCAAAGTATACTGGCAGAAAAAGGAAAGACAAGTTTTAAGTGTCATCATGGTTCGATAAACATTGGAATGTGTATATATGATATGCATCGCATTTTTCTGTGATTATTAAGTAATAAATTTTTATCATGCATAGATGATGAACAAACCTCACACAATTTCTTGATAGCATCATTGTGACAAGAACTTATTAGTCAATTTTAGACCTTACTTTGTTACGATCTTTATTCACCTGTTACAGTGAAGTCTCATGATCAAATGCACATGCCATCCATTAGTCTGGGGGTAAAGTATTTGAAGTAAAAGATGTGATTTTCTACTTGATACTTATAAAATC